TCAAGTGCAAGCAGTGCCGGCACCTTGTGGAAGTGCACAGCTGCCGCTGAGGGGGAGCATGCCGGGGTTGTGGGAGGCTGTCGGGGGACTGCAAGGCAACTGGAGAGAGGAGAGCCCAGGAAGAGACACAGGGAAGAAGGAGAAGGTGTGGGGGAGATGCACAGGCTGAGAGGGAGTGAAGGTTGCTTGGGGTATTGCTGCCCTGCCGGTGAGCAGCCATGGCTCCCGGGGCAGCACCCTCTCACCAGCCTCATTGGGATTTTTGTGGTTTGAATGATTTTTCCAGATGGAGAGTTGGAGGACACAGGCCAAATAAACCCTTAAACTTTAGAAATAAACCAGTTGCAGTGGAAAGCAAAGTGTGTACATCAGCTCCTTCCTCACACGCTGCATTTGGGACCTGGAGAGTACCAGACTCTGCTCCCTCCCGTGGGCTGGGAGGGGACGAGGCCACGCTGGAGTCCTCGTGCTCAGAGGACACATGGGCTGCAGACAGCAAGAGACACCAGGTGGGAGTGGGGACCCACCTCAGCCATAAGAGGAGTCACTGAGAGGTATAATAGAGTGGAGGCAGCAGAGAGAAGGGAGATTAGGTTTGTGAGGTGAATGGGCTCTTTATACAGTAAGACACATCTTGGGAGAACTACTGACTGGTATAGGCCTGTAGGGGAGGGAGGCAAGAGATGGCTGGGGATTTCAGACACGGATACTTGGGCCAGTGGCTTTAAATCCAGGTTCCCAGAGCTGATGCCTTCTCCGACACTCAGCTGCTCCTTTGGCTGGAGAAAACATTTTCAGGAGTTCTAGCAGGTGCCAGAGTGAAATGCTGTTGAGTGAGGCTCCCCTCATGGTGCAGAGAAGGTGCTCAGAGGGCGAGATCTGGCCATGATGAGCTGGCTGGTCAGCAAGGGGTCTGGTAAGAGCTATCCAAGTCTATCCAGGGTCTGTGCTCCACCACAGCCCCACAGAGCCTGCTCCAGAGCACTGTGCTTCCCACGCATGCCCCCCGCTACTGTGTATCACCCCTTGGTGAGGCTGAGGAACCTCTGGTGCCACAGCCGCACCTCCTCCTCTCCCTCCTTCTCACTCAGCACCCGGTACGTCTTGTTTCTGTGGCAGCCACGGCGAGACACCTGCAAAGAGAGCCTGAGTTTATAGGACTGATAGCACTGCCCATCCTTCTGGCCAAGGAAAGAGGACCCCCATGATGGATGGCATCTGGAGGCTGGGATGATGGGGGCACCAGAGGGAAGAAGGGAGCATCAGCTGGGAAGCGGGAGGGAGAGGATGATAGCTGAACTGTGTGCTTCCCTCTGTCCTGCTCTGGTGTTTTTGGTTTTTGTTACCACCTAGGAAGCACCTAGTAGATGTGGGAGACCCTTCCCTGCAGGGGGATATACAGGGATGCCCCAATGGGTGGGAAGATCGCCACAGCTCCTCTGTCTCAACATTAGTGGCTGTCTCTGCTGCCATCTCTTACAGAGTCTGTGCAAATCCTACCACCTCAATTACATGCCAGCTGTGCTTGGGTCACTATTTGTCACCCCCCAAACACACTCACTTCTGTCCTACTGGAGGGAAAAGCAGTGGGCCAGTAAGTCCTGCAGGGACTTGAGACTGGCTGTGGAGGGACCAGCTGTGGAGGAGAAGGCTGTCTAAAGGGCAGCGCAGGCTGCTTCTCACCCTCTGGTTGTAGAGGCTCTTCTGGAGACACTGGTAGCTCTTGAATGCGCAGTAGCTGGGGTGCTGAACTCCACCTGAGTCGCAGATCTGGGGAGATGGGAATGAAGGCCAAAGAGAGAAAAGGAGAAGGACGGATGGCAGCACCCACTGGGCACCCACCTGGTTTGGGGCATCTCCATCTTGGAATGCGGTGTACTCTGCCTTCAGCCAGAGGGTCACACGAGGGTTCTCGCAGCCATGGGTGGCGATCCGGCTGCACCAATACTCCACCCTCAGCCTTCTGAAAACCTCCATGCCATAGTACTCCGAGGCCTCTGGGGAGCTGGTCTGCAAACAGGTGGGATAAAGAGAGCTCTGCTTCTCCCCCTGCTTCACCAATACCCAGTCCAGGCTCCTCCTCAGAGGCCAGCACACTCAATACCTTGTTGCCTGCAGCCTGGTGCTGGGCTGAGATCTGAGGGTTGATGTAGGTGGTGAAGCTGCCTGTCTCGCAGTGAACACGGTTCAGATTTTTGATGTTCTGACACTGCTCCCTCTTCAGCGAGCAGAAGGCGCAGTCAGGGCACAGGTCCATGTGATGCCGCCCAAGGCTGTCACACACCTAGGGTGGATGCAGTGGTGGGGTCAGGGGGGAAAAAAGGAGACTGAGAGGCTCCCATATCCCTGGTTTGGAGCTTGCGTCCCTGGTCACCCAGGTCAGCTTCTCCTGGGAGGTGGCACCTGAAAGGACAGTGCTGATGAGCTCTGGCCACCGGAGCATTGTGGTCAGCACTGCAGGGAGCCCAGCACACTGTGGGGATCAAAGATGGACATCAGCATCTTTACCGAATCTCCGAACCCAAGGACTCTTTCCTCCATCTCCTTCCAGGCCTGGGTGACCACCGATGAGAGACAGTTTCCTTCCAGCATTGCATAGCACAGGATTGTCACTGCTTCGTCCTTCTTCAGGGCTAAAAGGCTGACAAAGGGATAGAAAAAGTCAAGTCTTGCCTCTTGTCACAAACTGAAGAGATAGACCTTTAGTTAAAACTTGAAAGGGGAGGAAAACAACCTCAAAGGATAGCAGAAAACCCTTCTCAAAGAAACCTGGGACTCTCGTCCAAACTGCACGGAGGAACAGGGGTGTCTATGAAGTCTGTACATGCCAGTGTAACATGGAGGCTATGGGGGGTGGTGGTGGTAGTGGTGGTGCATTTGGGAGCACATGAGGGGGACTGGATGACGAGCACGGCTTGAGAAACTTTCCCAGGAGCCCTCAGCAGCTGCTGCCTAGTTTTGTCCATCCGAGTGCACAGCAAGGAGACATTTGTTAGAGGTCTGCTGAGTGTTGACCATGGGGCAGCCCCATTTGGGTCTCCAGTATATAACTTATTAAGCCTCCCTCCTGCTTGAGCCAATGTATTCGATGGAAAGGGGAAAAAATCAATAACAATGAATTAACTGTTCATCCAAACTGACATGGGAAGTTAAATGTAGAAAATTTAAGGGCAGTGGGATAAGGACATTAATAATATTTTGCATCTCTTAGGAACAGTAGAAATAGGCAATGTGGTACAGAACTGTTATTCGATGGGGATGGTGCGAATTATCAGCAATGATGAAGAAGAGGTAAAAATGCTCATTAAATACTTGTCTTCTGTGTCTGGAAACAAAATAAATGATAAATAAGCCAACTTTGATCTGGCAGAAAGTAAGAAAAGATAAGAGCAGCAATTGCTTATGTTAAAATGCTCTTAAAATTCATGAATGGGCTAACCTGTATGGAGAAGTTTTCCTAAGAATAGCTGAAACTTCTTGGAGACTTTCAGATTAGCCTTAAAAAAAAAAAAAAAAAAAAGAGGCAGAGAACCTGGAGGAAAGTCATGAAGATGACATTTCCTAAGGCCTGGAAAACTTTCACTTGGAGCAAGAAACAGAAGAACCTTTACTTAGCTGAGCAAAGGCACTAGTGGGTGGCAACTCAGTCAGTCTGTACTTTTACCAAGCTTGGGATCAGCTGGAAGGCTCTCTTCAGCAGAAGGAAGAGTAATGACTTTTGGTGATTGACATTTGGGGTGAGATCCATTCAAACCTGAAATTAGCTGCATGTTCCTGACACGAAGGGTATTTAGCATGGGAGCAGCTGATGGAGTGGTTTCTCCACAGCTTGGAGAGTTCAAAAAGATATCGCAAACTTCTCTTAGGATAAGGGTCTGTAGCTCAGCCACATGATACTGTTTTTCCTTCACAGCTCACCAAGGCATGGCTCCACGTCCTGTGCTGAGTGGGTGAGCACTAAGGCTACTAATAAGAAATTTTGTGCACCTCCCTAACAGATCCCGAGGCCCATCCATACTCTGTGGATGAATGAGCTTGCAGGACGTGCTCTGCACTTGCAGGAGGTCAGAAATGAGTGATCCTGTACACAAACAGTTCACATTAGCCAGCAGAAAATGAGCATGTCAGGATCTCTGAAGGCATCTCTCTCACTTAGATACTACAAGAGAACTTGGAAAATCTTAGTCACAGAAAATATAGTGAGTGCTAGATTTTGTTTTTAAAGACATTACAGTCAAACTTCTTTTATCACAGTGCAGCAGATACAGCTCTAACCTGTATTGAGGCAAGCAAAGATGTTCCTTCAACATCTTTGTCCTGAGCTGTGGAGAGGCTGCAATTGGTATTCTGTGGATACAGACATGTGAGCTAATTACTGTGGTGCTGACCCACAGCACATCAGCCACATCCACTGAAAAACCTGGAAATCTACGTATTGTAAGCCTGTGCGCCTTTTACTATGATGCACCACACTGTGACCAACCTGGTCAGAGGATTGTGGAGGGAAGGTTCAAGTTCAGAGAGGACAAAAGAATGTAAACTGAGGACAGCAGTGACAGATACCAACTCTTTCAAGCAAAGCTGGAAAGAATTAAAATGTGCCAGTAAAAAAGAGAAACAAAGCTCACCTATCCTGCAGAGACCACTTCCAGAACCTGTAAGATCCTTTGTGTCCACTCCTCCATCACATGGCTCCACAGGATCCTTTTCATTTTTGGTGTTTTGTTTCCTCTGTAATCATTCAGACCGTTTAGGATACCAAGATGTCCTGGTTTCAGCCAGGACAGCGTCGGTTTTCTTCACAGAAGCTAGTGTGAGGCTGTGTTTTGGATTTGGGATGAGAAACTGTTGATAACGTGCTGATGTTTTGGGTTGTTGCTAAGTAGTCAAGGACAGTCCAGCTTTTTGTGCTGACTTGCTAGCAAGAAGGCTGGGGGTGCA